ACTTTGGTGATGCAGTGACAGATCATGTCTCTAGGGGTTCCGTGTTGCTTTTTGGGTTCCCCGATTTTTCGAAAAATCCTAACCCATTTGGCTGCCTGTGGTCTGACCCCTGGGGGTCGGCGGGTGCAGGCGCTAGCCTGGTAAATAAAGAAACAATCTCTTTGGTCGATCGCGCTCCTCAAAGCTGCAATTCTTGCTTCAACAGCCTCCCTCTTCAGGGGCAAGTCAAAGACTTGCGTTTTTGGTACCGGAACCTCCTGATGTTCTGGATCGGTTTCAAGGTCGGATGCAGCTTTCCCACGAATGAGCCCAGTCTCTGAGGTGGGTTGAGCAGAGCGCGAATCTTCCGGCTCGGGAACCGAGGGTGCCATTGGGGCATCATCGCCAAACACCAGTGATTGGGATGGGGGGGGGGTTGGCTCAACCAGATCTCCGGCCCTTTCTGAACCCAGATCTTCCAAAGAACTGGAAACTTCCACTGAAGATTCTTCAGGTTCCCCTGCCACTTGTGAGGGAATCATGTATGGATCCAAAACTTCAGCAGCTGTGGGCTCTAAAGGATTGGAACCATCATCCTCACCCTCCTGGCGATCAGCCGCCACTGTAGGTGCAACCGTGGATTCATCAGCAGCTGGCGTGGAACCATCAGTGGGGGCACCAGCGGGCGAAGAGGGGGGCGCACCACCTGCAGCTGTGGATCCATCAGCTTCAGTTGGACCATCAGTGGGGGCACCATCAGCGGCGGCACCATCCGTCCAAAAAATCTCCAAGATCTGAAAGAAGCGCTCCAAAGCAGGTTCCTTACATCCCAAAATCCAAGTACCACTAGAGGTAGAGAGTGAGGTTTCCAGCACTACTACAATACCATCAGTTTAGGCTATTCGATAAACTGTTTATAAACTATCAGTTTGCCAGGCTTTGCCCAGGGTCTCGTGTAGCAGCCCTGCTCGAGAAGCGCCGCACACCATGCGAAAACAGCTTCTTGAGTCCAGACGCGTCTAAATGCATCATGCAAGCGTCTTCGGGCCTTCCAAGGATTTTTCGAAGCATGGTAACCTTGCAGGGGCTTGGCGGTGGTCAGGACGACAGCGGATCCCCTTTCCATAAGATCTGTTAGTTCAACTAATTGGTATGCAACCCTTTCTGCACCACCTGTGCATGTGATTTACAATCCTGGCCCCTCCTGTATCCAACAAAAGTTTTTCAGTACCCAACAAAACTTCAGAACTCTTTGATGCAAACTTGGATGCCTCCCGTCTCATGAAGTCAATGGGAATTGTCTTGGCATACGGTGTTTTTTGGCACCAATGCTCAGCAAGGATCTCCAGCGCACGTGCATTCAATCTCATTGCTTTCACTGATTGGATGCCCACTGTCTTCTCGTCTGGCCAGTTCGTGCACCGGTCATGAAGACGGAAGCTCTCACGTATGGAGCGATCGGCCTCTAAGGCGATCGCCACTACACCTTCATCAGGCCACAGGCCGGGGTTGACCTCCTGGTCAACGGACTCGAGGGTGTCGGTCGACATGATCACTGATCCACTTTCAGTGAACGCGAGTTTGGGATGGTTAGAGCCAATAGCTAACAACAAAAAACAAACAAGTACTTGATTGTTGCAGTGACTACCCACGAGATTGGGCATGCATGAAATGAAAGTTCACAGAATGTACTGCATACTTCTTTCTTGCATAGATTGTTCTTTAATTAAGCACGTGCCTTCTCAACAGTTCATGACACTTCTACATGGCATGCAGGGGTGCAGCGCACCTTCGATTGGAAAGCCTTCATGTCTTCATGAAGAGAGTACCTGCGATGATGCAGGTGGCCAGTTCACTGTCCACCCTGTGCAGGTGCACGAACCTGCAATGACGCTTGAGCTGTTCCTGAAAAAATCCGGGCGCACATGGCCGCGAGCATTTCTTGAGCGCATGGCTCTTGCGGGCGGGTGTTGGCACGATTTGGAGTTGGTACATCTTGATACCCTTTGAGACCAAGAGTGGGATACCAAAAGCTTGTTAACATCTCTTACCTCAAGTTCGTTAGAGCATACTAAAACAGAAGGGATCCTTTGAGAACTTGATTGTGCTTGATAATCTATGAAATCTGGGTTGATGGGAGCTAGAAGGACAGGTCGAAGCGAGCACACTCAGACAAGACCTCAAGAATCAAAAAACGCCGTCAGGCAAAAGCTTCTGCAATGTCAATGAAAAGATGGTTTTTCCAGAAACTACTAAAATAATAGTCGTTAGGAAGTCCTAGGATTGATGTCTATAGTGCTTTAACCCTCATCACCCGCAAGATGTTCGAGACCCCTCTCGGAGGCTTGGGAGCTTTGAACTTTGCCAAAAAGGACTGGATACCAGTGCCCAACTCTGTCAGTTCGATCTGCTGTGAGGCCTCACATGGAGGGACCAACAGGTGCTGCCATGGAGCTGTTTTCTTGTAAAATACACGACCAAGGCACGGCTCCATGCATCCATGTGGTCTGAAGTGGCGCATGTTGCCGTGGAATGTAGGCGACTGACCTCAGGTACAGCGGTGGCGTCCAGACGAAGGGTGGGGCCAAGCTTTTCTGGGCGGCTTGACAGGATAGGATTTGGTGGGACATGGATTTGGGAGCAAGTTCAGTTGGAAAGGAAGCAAACTTGAAGGGCCTTCCTGCCGTTTTATCTAGGGAGAGTGACCTGTAGAAGCGATGCTTCCAGGA